ACTCTAAGCAATCACAGGCTAGATAGGGTAGGATTATTCTGCAAGACTCTAGTACTTAGTCAAGTCATAAAAGTGGTCTCACATTACCAAAATCAGAGCGTCATTGTATAGTACTATCATGCACGTATACATCCTTTTTTTCAAACTTTTTGACAACAACCAAACATTTTTTGTTTGTAGAAAAAAACCCCGTCGCGAAAGGGTTAACCTTTAGAGTAAGAAAATCTTGTCTAGATATACGAAAATTTATTTTTGTGCATTTAAATTGTTTCAAAAATGCATACTTTGCTCCATTCCAGTGGAAATAAAACATAACGGCATCGAAGCATTTCTGATGATTGTTACAAGCAGTATTCTTAAGAGAGATACAGTAACTTGTTTTGGCACCGGTTCGTTGATATACTAATGAATGAAAGTTGACAAGCCCGCGTCGAAAACGACTGAAAATATCTTTGAGATCAACGTTTAAATGAAAAGTCTGTCCGAACAAAGGTAAAAATTTCATCAATTCTTGTTGACTTATGTACGTATTATCATATATCTGTTCCTGTATGAATAACTGTTCTAAGGATAATGTTTCGTCCCTGTGTACTGTTGTTTGGACTAGATTAGAGGTGGGACAGTTCCAGTTACCGTTCCTAGTAACGGGAACTGGTGACCAGTTACCGTTCCTAGTAACTGGAACTAGTGACCAAGGTTATTCGGAATAACCTAACAAGTATCGGCAGCAGTTTATACTCTTAAAAGAAAAGAGAGTAAAAAATATCCACTTAAAGATGTAAAATCATGTATATTTGTCTGTAAAGACTAAATGGTTCAAATAAAGGTTACCGATATGTATTATTTAAGAGGAAAACATGGCAGTATCGTCAGTAAGAACTGACCTACATAAGCTCGTTAGAGTATAAAAACAAGATAAATGAGTTAAAACTTTTCTCCATCTTGATTGTGAAGAAAACGGTAACTGGTCACCAGTTCCAGTTACTAGGAACGGCAACTGGTCACCAGTTCCAGTTATTAGGAACGGTAACTGGTCACCAGTTCCAGTTACTAGGAACGGTAACTGGTCACCAGTTCTTTTTACCAGTTACTAGGAACAATGAGAACTGGAACTGTCCCACCCCTAGACTAGATATTGGTTAAAAATATTCCTTCCTATTTTTATTGTTGTGTTTTTTCTTAAGCTCTTAATGTAACCCAAGAAACTTTCTTCCGAATAGCGTGACGTGGTATACAGAGCACCATGTTGTCGAACTTGAGTTGGAAAGTATTGCAGGAGGTGTACACTATATAGTTCAAATTCTTCACCATAAATTGATGGAAGTTCCTTCCGATACTGTTGTAAGAATTCTTCTGCATCGTCAATATGAGCAACATGTTCAAAAAAGTGTAAAATTCTGCACAAAGAGAAAGAAGAAAACAGATAGAACGAAATATTCGGTTAGAAATACATCCACTAACCTTATGGATAAAAAAAATAACACGAAATGATTTGTAATTGCAGAAGGTAAGAACTTCACTAACGGCACACATATATAAAGAAGAAAAAATTTTAGTTCTTTCGATTCACACCAGTCGATTTCTGAAAATGAGCTCAAAGTCACTTTCGTATCATGTGGGTACAATACTTGTAACACAAAGTTACTCATTTCTGTTGCTGTTGTTGTCGATGCATGACTTAACCACTTCTCTAACAAATGATCTATGTGGCCTGAATTACCGCACACTGCATGCATATAATCGAAGGTGCAATTCTCCTTTACGTTACTATAAATTCTTAGTAATGGGTCAATCCTTTTAAACCATCAACAGTTGTGATATATCCTGGTTTTGATTTGGTCTCTGCCAGTTGTGCTCCGTTCATAAAATCTTGTTGTGTCCTATCAAGATGAATGTCAGTAAAAGGAGGTATTTTTCAAGATAGTACCCGTAGTTGCATAACAATGACGATGTTTTGTCGATAGCATATCAACTCCGTCTGAATGGATCTGTAGTGTTATATAGTGATTATTACAATTAGTATCACGTTTGTATATCTCTCCATTGATGATATCGTTTGGTAATAACTCCTTTGCTCTCGATGAATAGGTGGTGATTAGATGCAGATTTGTTTTTACTACATGAGAAATAGCATTATCAATATCATTAACACATAACTCTATAATTCCATCTTCATTATGTTCTTTTTTCGTCAAACCACAAGTATCATTACATTTATTCGTGGTAAGATCAAGTTCATTGGTACAATTATTGCAGAATGTCTTGTAGAAGAACGGTTGTTTAAGTCTCTTAAAAATATACCGCCGATTCAAATTGATGTTAGATGGCAGGAGATAAAATAGTAAATTAATCAATTTTTTTTGTAGTGTATGATTAAGTTTACATTCTACTATATACTTGTGAATTTCTTCAATTGCCTCTGAAACTGTAACTTTTGTATTCTCATATAGATAACTGTCTGTTGTCATTTCAGTTGAGTCGTCTTCGTCATCTGTGGACTCATCAGGCGAAGGCGCAAATGAGGAACTGGAAAATGAGGACAAAGTGTCTTCATCATTATTGTAATTAGTAAAAGAAGCAGGAATTTCATTATTAAAGTCTTCGTCAAAATCGTTTGAATTGTAGCCTATGTCATCATTGATATTAGAAAACACTGAAGGAATTGGGTTAGTGAGCTGCTCACGCAAACGAAGACGATATTGTGTCTACCGTGCAGTATTACTATTCTCGACTATTAATTTGAGTGAAAAAAAAATCATTTAAACAGGATTATATTAAAGATTCATTATATCAACTTACTATTACGTTGAAAAATAGAACTTAAATTTACCCATAAACTCATTTTAGTTCAGCTATTCAATGACTTTAACGTCTGTGAATTTATACAGAAAGAAAAAAATAACAAAGTTAGAAATTTCGAGCGCGGGATTTATTTCAGACTAAACTATGTCTCAAACTATATAAACATTTAAAAGTACAGAAGTTTTCTCTATGAGTGCATAAATTTTATTTGTGTTTCTGTTCAACTCACAGCAGTGATTTTTAGTGCTTTCTTTGAAGATAAATGATTGCAGTTCAATCGTTTTTTTGATCGTTCAATCTCGGGCACGACGTAGAAAAGGTACTCAGTTTATTAGCTGCAGAGTGAACAGGACTGCTTTTGTCAAAACAATGTGAGTCTTTTTCCATAAGGCAACGCCTGCCATTAGTGAAGAACACATTCTCGCTAGGATTTTAGTCTGGAGTCCGGAGAGAGAACTAACGCCTAGTCTTACGCGTTGTCCCGAAGGACACTATATGAAATGAGGTGAGCTTTTTCATGCCCCTTACGGTGGCCCCTCTATCCTCGGTATGCATACAGAGCCGAGCAGAACTTTGCTTCCAGATGAAAGCCACAAACAACAGGGCGAATTTTACACCTGGGTGAATCTCAGAGTTAGGCCTTTAGGCAGCCTGTTCTATTGCGCACAGCTAAAAATTTTTTGCTCATTTCTACGTATGAAGCTGAACGATCGAAAGAATGAATGAACGTATTTTATTTAGAAAAATAGAGAAAGGTTCAGCAAGAGCAAAAGAATCACTGCTGAATGGTCTTCCAAAAAAAGCACATTCAGAAATATCTGGTCAAAATTGTGCTGACTTAAAGTTAGCGTTTTCTTTGCGATATTCTTTTACATTCTTATGTCCAATTGATGTAATTATAAACTAACTAGCCTATGAAAATAACAAAACTACTTACATTGTCGTACATATGTAATTATTTGATAATTTTTGTTGTTTCAATTCAGAATTGTTCCGTTTTTGACGTTTTCTTATACTAAATGTTGAAAATCGTTGTTGTTGTTTTTTTCTTTTGTTTGAAATCAATTAGCCTAATCAAGAACAACAACAAGCACGAAAATTGACAATATAGAAACATTCATTGTCTGAAAATATGCAGAGGGACAGCTGCACTTTATCACTTAAAAAAAATAGCGAGTTAAAACTCGTGTATGCTCATCTGTAGAAAATTTGAACAGACTGTAAACGAGAATAAGAATAAAGAATAGCAAAGACCTAAATCAGATTGAAACAAAAACAAGGATAAGAGGCAGAGCTCTAAGGCAAACCAAAAAGCGCAGACATGTGCATTCAATCCACTTTTTTCACCCTTGCTCGTAAATTTCAAGCAAAGTGTTCTCGGAATACTTTTCTCGACCAAAAATTTAATTTACAGAATATACTCTATAGAAAACAAAGAGTATTTTCGAAAATAAAGTGCAGGAGACTTTGCTTTCTTGGCGAGACTTTGTCATTAGACACGCTGCGTAAACGGCAGTGACAGGAAAAAACTTTGAAACGTAACAACATTACAAGAAAGAAGATTACAGCGGTCGCCGGTCAACTCTAGTCCGAGGATCCACTAAAAAAAAGAAACACAGCAAGTGAACACTGCTCGTTTTAACTGCGAAATCGAACTTTTCACTCGGCTTTCAAACACCCAATAATGATCAACGGATAAGAAGAAGAAATGAAGAAACGTTTTCTCTCTCTTTCCTACTGATTCTACCATTTTTTTTGTTTGTTTATTGTCCTTTTTTGGTTTAGTATTTAAGAGCGACATCGTACGTAGATGTAAAAATTGTTGACTTATTTGTTTATTTTTCTGCTTCTTCTTTCCTTATTTTTTTTCTTTTGTTCTTCTTCTACGCTAATCTGCTTTTGTGTGCCGTCCTCTCTTTCTTCAGTATTGAGATAAAGCGACATCAGTCGGTGAGTCTCAATATGGGTGTTTTAAATATAATTTTGAATTAAAAACCCAAATTCAAACAAAAATTCTCACAAAAAGATCTTTTTTCTGTTGAGTCTAATTCTTTTACTTTTTTGCTTGTACACCCAAACATTGAATTCATCACGTTTAATTTTGCCACCTGCAAGTAGGTATGTTACAAACCCAAACCCAAGCGATTTGGGTGTATTGGGTTGGGTATTGAGTACCCAAGTCTTGGACTTGCCCTACGAAAAAAATTTTGGAAGTACTGCTCAGCTTTTTATGTCCTTTAAGAGAAATATGCATTGTTTAGGTTCCTAAACGTGTTTAAACAAAAGACTTGGAGAATTTTCATTGGCGCTAAACTTATTAAGCAAACGAAAATGTTCTCACAATTTAGGGAAGATTATAGAATTTTTTATTCGAATAACTTTAAAAATTTTCAGCGATTTATTAAGGCATTGTAATGGCGCTGTAAAAACTTCAGTTAAAAACGAAAACAAAGCGATGTTTTTCGAAAAGACTCTTATGCTAAAGTGCATATATTATTTATACATAAAAATATATTTGGATTATCATGTGATTGTTATTTTCAGAAGAAATAGTCTTATAGGAGACATTACAGAATTAAATAATTGTTTAGAACATTTTAGTTGAGTTTATTTTAGTGTGAATATTCAATGAGACGGAATATGAGAAGAAATATGAACATTTGAAACAAAACGTAGTCAACGTAACTCAGAGCGATAATCATAGATGTATTGATAAAATGTATCGTGAGTTCTATATCCTATATTATCGAAGAAGCCTTATAATTAAGGAATTTTTTCAGAAGCGACTTTAGCGGAAAATAAAAAAATAAAGAGCTTCTTCTTCCACATGCGCATGTGCTTGTTTTTTCTTCCCGATAGAACTGATAAACATATTTGTTTTCTCACAGTAGAAGAAAATTTTTTATTGAACTTTCTTTGATCTCCACCATCTGCTTTTTTTTACGCTCTTGCTTGCTATCTATTAATAATTGATGAAAAGTGGAAGAGCTGCAGTAAACTATATAAATAAGAAAAATTCTGTCACTCATCACTTTCTCACAAATTTTCTCGAAATGTTACGCTGTCAATTGTTAAATAACCAACTTCAACGCTGCTCTATACAAGACAATGTTTTTTCTTGTCAACACTGTGATCTGTTTTATTGCATCCATCATCTTCAACAACATTTAATAGCTTTATCTTCGATCCAATCACAAAAGCATGACTCATCATTTACTTCTAACCCGATATGTACAACGGCTGTAAGTAATAAAAATTCACATTTTTAGATTTCATTGTCTTTGAAACAGTATTTTTCATTTGTTATATCACCTAGAATAATATACAACAAAGCAATTCATCATCTCCTTTAAGTAGAACCTTTCATGTTCGTCCTATAACACAAACAACATTTTCACCATATAATTATTCGTCGCCATCACCAATTTCATCGTCATTTTATTTGCAATCCAATTCAGCATTCAGTCCATCGACAATCGTAACTAAAACTGCTCCACCGGATAGAACACTAGCAAAATCCAAACGTCTCTCCAAACATCATTTCCAGTTCAATAATGTTCCGGACAATAAAGACTTCAATGATATTTATCAACAAATTCTTCATAAATATAAAAATAATTTAAAATATTTATGTGTAAGTTCCACTTCATCTGCACCACCATGCATTTCTATTCATTTACAGTTCAGAATACGACCAAATTATACTCGATTATTTTTACAAGATACCATTCCACAAGCAACTAGACAAGACTACGAGCAACAATTAGACGACGACGAGTTCAACGTTCAAATAAAACATAACAATGACGATTACACTGAATCATGTCCATATAAATCAACAAGAACAAAATCGGTCAACAAAAATCATTTTCAACGTCGAAGCGATTATGCTGCACGAGCTTTACAACAGCAAACCGTCGCTGAAGGTAACTTAGTTTTGTTAAGTCTAGCAGCTCTCCCTGTAGAAAACTTAGTTCTTGTTACGGTCGTGAAAATCTGTTCCTAACAATTATTAATTTAAAAGTAATGTTAAGTGTTACTATAACGAGAAATGATGATCGATAATGCATTAGTTGCTGTTATAACATTTTTATCGAATATTTCGATTTTGTTTAGGAATGAACATTCTCCAAACAGCAATGCCATACGATTATTTAGTACATTCAACATCAATGCGAAATACCCTGAACCAAAGCATTGGGCAACGGCAACGGCTCCAACAATTAGTACAATATCAACCGCCATTTCCTATATCATCTTTCTCAATCCCATCGAATCACGCCCAGAAGATTGATGATTGGTTAGCAACGGACTTTCACGAACGTATCCATGATCGATTACCAACAAGAACACGAAGTAAATGCTTATTCATCATCGGACACACACAATCTGGTAAGAGAGATATCTGGTAAAAAAATCTAGATAGCGAACACTTTTCTATCATTTTCGTTCATGTTTATAGGAAAAACATCGTTTGCTCGAACTCTTGGCACCCATATGTTCCATCGCGGATGTTTCAGTTTATCCGAATGGTCAGATGAAGTCGATTATATGATATTAGATGATATTCCATATCCGGACATTAAGCAACAAGCAAAGCAGTTATTAACAGCACCCGGTGAAGTGCATTTAACAGACAAATATCATAAAAAAGAAAAAAAACACAATAACAAACCCTGTATTTATTTGATGAATTACGAAGATATTGGAGGTTTATTAAGTGATACGTATTGGATCGATAATGGTGTGATTGTGCAATTGAGCATGAACGAAAAATTATTTGCGTAAATATTTTTTTCTACTCTCTAGTATTGGTTTTTTAATATATTTATTTTATTATGCAAAAAACACTCGATCACTGAATGTACAGACACAGCCAGAAATAAGTTCTAAAAATTGTAAGGTCGCCTATCTTGTATCGCTTCACTTTGAAAATTTTACTGCGTTTCTGCTGCAACAGTAAGTAACTCATTTTGAAGAAAATTATTCATTCTATAAGAAACATCGCCATAACGTTTGAATTAACCATTCTTTCTGCTAAAAAGGTGAAAAAACTTTAAAAAGTAATAGTTTAAAAATGTATAACACTTGATACGAACATTTTTGAGAGTCGACATGAACCGTTTTGAAGAGAACACTTAGCTCCATATAAAGACATGTCAAACTCAGTTTTAAAAAAATCATTTTCCATCTTAAATAGAGAAGAACATCGTTAAAGAGATAAATCTGAAAGAGTGCAATACTATTCTATACTGTTCGTTATATATGTTTTATACGATATCTTGTGTGTTTTCTTATTCTATATATGTTCT